CCCCCCACCCCGTCGTTAAGGACCCCGAAAAAGTTTCAAATAACAACAAGGAGTGACGTCACACGCGAAGGCGGCCGCCCGGCGGATGGATACGGAAAGCGCCGGCTCGGAGGCCCCGGCGATCCGGTTCGAACCGGCGGCGGCCGGCGGCTTGGCCGTCCTCGCTCCCGTCTCTCCTTCTCTCTCTTTTTTTTTTTTGCTGCAGTGCCCCAGCGCGCATGCGCCGGCTCGTCCTGGCGGCGGGGCCCGGATGCTGGGGACGTGACTCAGCGCGGTGGAGTCGGGAAGTTTTTTCAGAAATGCGCCATGATCTGCCCTCTCCCCATGACCCCTACCCGCCTGGCTGTGCATCACAGCGAAGGAGGCTGTAGAAAGCTCGGCATTGTCTTAACTCGTCACCCACTCTGGGGCCGAGAATGGGTGAATAGGGGAGTCCGTGTTTTCCGCCTGCGAGTTTCCCCACGCAGGCTGACACGACAAGCGGAGTGTTTTACCCCCTTTCCCCCCGGGGGGGGGGTAGTGATTTCGCAGCACACGCGGTGTTGTTTGTGACATAAACTGACCACCCAAATGTTCAGAGCGATAGATAGATACTTTATTGATCCCGTGAGGGGAATTGCAGCGCAACAGCAGCTTAACACACACAACACAGCCACAGTGTAACAAATTATATAATAATAGTACAATACATACATAGGGGGGGCTCTGCCTAACCAGCTTCTAAGCACTTTGTCCAACTGGGGTCACGGGAGAGCTGGGGCCTATCCCAGTAAGCACTGGTGCAGAACACCCTGGACGGGACCCCAGTCCCATCACAGGACACACACACACACTCACGCCAGGGTCAGTGTGTGTGTCGTAATTAACCCCCCAGCCTGTCTCTGGACTGTGGGAGGGAACCCACGTGAACACGGGGAGAACATGCAGACTCCACACAGACAGCACCCCGGGTCCGGGAACTGAACTCTGACTGAGAAGAGGGGGCACGTTTTATTGACTGTCTGTGGACACAATAGCGACGGGGACACTATACTTGCACAAGGCGCCGTCCTTCTGATAAAACCGAGGTCCTGACTCTCTGTGATCATTAAAAACCCCAGGGTGTTTCTCGAGAAGAGTAGGGGTGTTACCCCAGTGTCCTGGACATATTCCCCCCCTGGCCTTTACCCATCATGGCCTCCTAATAACCCCCCTCTCTGAACTGGCTCCATCACTCTGCTCTCCTCCCCACTGAGAGCTGG